TGTGATGGCTGTCCTCTTGTTGTTCTCAGCGACAGTCCGTACGATATGGAGTACGTTTTATTCGCATTACTCGAGTTCAAGTGAGTCATTTATAGCATATAATGCGGAACCCATACTTATGATTTAAAATCAGTTATGCTCCCCACATTGACAAGCCTATGCCTTTCAAAGCTGCGTAGCTCTTCTTAGACTTTCCTTGAAGTATGCAATGGATAAATCGAGGAAAAGGATAATCGCACGGTTATCTCCCCTTTTTTCTACAGACATTAACGATATGCCAATGAATTATGCTGAGGCAGAAAGAAAGATTTACAGCGATGAGACCACAGTTGGAGAATTCGCATCCCTTCGTACCCTATTTCGGGAATGTGACCTTGCACATTTCCTACCATGGATCTTATATGTCATCATTGTCCAACCGCTTGATGAGATTTACAAAATAGTGATGGTCAGTCAATCGCCCGATATATCCCTCCGAGAGAGTAAAACGTTTGTAGTCGCTCAGGAGCAGCTGTTCTCTTATACGGCTTCGAGCCTGGTGGCGATATGGCAGACTAAAAGTCAAAAGTGCAGCGCTCTTCCAGACTGTTCTCTAGAGAATCGTATCGACATACTTCGAAATGCGCTTTCTCCGGACCCAAAACTCAAAAGGAGCTGTTAAAGTTTCTCATCCGGAGAATAAGACTCAAGGAGCACAGGTGTTGCAATGCATGCAATAAAGAGCGTCGCACTGTGGAGCTGCAGGAGTCTCGTGAACTCTGGCAAAATTACCCAGCATATTTGCTTTGCCATCTTGGGAGGACCTCTTGCGACGAGATGATTAGAGCTGTGTAGGTTCCTCCGTATTCATCCTACATGTATTTTATTGATATTTTTAGAAGTACGTCAATTATACTTTCTCGAAAATCTTCGAAACGCATGTCTCTCCGTGGAATAATTTATTTGCAGTTTCGTTAATTAGCTTACCGAAATAAATAGAATAAATTGTGTGAAGAGGAGTTGCGTTAATTAACATTGCCTGTACATTGTATGGTGCGCATTCCTGGAGAGGAAAAATGGACAGTAATGGCCAAGTACTATCCGGCTGCAATTAAAGGATTCCTTCTCAGAGCTCGGTGTCAGAGTGGTAGATACTCGATAAGATGACACAGAACAACTTCTATAATGTCGGTCGATAACATACTGGAACGTGGTATATTCGGGAATGGATAAGAAATTAGTAAAATCATAAATAATTGATACATCCATTATATACTACACAAAAGCGCAAATATATAGATATACCGCAGAGAAAGTCGACATCATTTAACGGAGAAATTCAATTTTAGGATGTTGATCCGCGGACCGCCGAGATCCACGCGGCGGTAGCATCAGGGTACTTAAATGGATTGAAGGCCGTTAGAGCAATGCTAGCACAGATAAGTTATATAGATATCTCACCTGCCAGGTACTGACACCAGCGTTCCAGCCTTGCGCCTTAGCTTGACTGACGCATGAAGCGAGCGTACTCGTGGACATAAAGCCGCTGCTGGCATCTCCCGTCGCCGCTGGCTTACCGATGACGATCTTGCTGAGAGGAACGCCGCTAGCAGCAATCTGGAAGACAGCTGTCTGCGGCCAAGTGCTGGAGGAAGCAGTCAAGAGTCCAGCGCAGCCTGTGTATTCAGAGGTTCCCTCTAGAAGAGGCGTAAGTGTTAATTTTGTGTCCTGGAATTTATGGAATAATGAAACCACTTACGGTTGTAGAACTGCGGAGAATCGAGAATCATGTTAATATGAGTGGGTACTGGTGTGAAGGGGTTTAAAGCTTTACCTGTACGTTATACTGGTAGTTCGAGATTAGAAGAGTGTTATTTGATGGTTTTCAAAAGAAATATCTAACGTACCCAATCAATGAGACTTCCAACGTTTTTGTTGACAGTAAGGTATGCTCCTCCACCAAACTTATTAGGTGAGAACCATGGGGCGACGGCTACATTCAGAAGATTGGTGTAAGTGAAAAATGAGAACAAGGGATATTGAGGAGCGACTGACGGGCATGTGTAAGGATGAACTGGCCAGCGGGAAGTTTTACACGAAGTTGTTGTGTGAAACTAGTAAGCCAAGCCTCTGCTTTGCCATCTCCAGCATTAACGGCCGTGAAGTCCTGTTTGCAGATTTAATATAAATGAAAAGAATTACGGATTACAAATATATAATCCACTTCATAGTCGACGTCTACGCCATCCAGACCAAATTGAATTACCCAAGCAGCCATGGTATTTGCGGTGGTAATGGCATTTGCGCCGGAGGTAGTAGGGGCATCCGTGGAACCAAACAGACTGACAACGAGCTTGATTCCCGCAGCGGCGTACTGCGATTTGATCGTAGAACGTTGAGCAGCAGTCAATTGGGTCCATTCCGCTGCTTTATCAAAGGCACCCGTGGTCAATAAGAAGGAAAGGGCACTACGAGAAGGTTAAGGCGCGGATAACGATAATCTGGAAGTGTTATAATTACAATACATTAAATCCCTTAGTAAATGAAATGTACGGTTAGAATCTCGGCATTTATTAAGAAGCTGGAAATCCTTACCTTTATAGCGGATACAGCGGGAGGTCCAGTGAGACCAGAAACAAACCGATCACCGTAGACAAAGAAATGTGGTGCAGCTGGAGTAGCAGCAACAACAGAAGACACGGGAACGGCTACGTTCAAGGCAGAAGAGGCAGGAACAACGGTCTTGGTATTGGTCGAAGGTTGCAAACCAGGATGGTTAAACATCGATATGTTGCTGTTCAGTCTGGGAGTAGATACCGTGGCAGCATGACCAACGGATACCAGAACTGAGAAGACAGCAGCGATGCTTGCAACCTTGAACACAGCCATAGTGATAAATGAAGGTTAGATGGAGTCTACCAGAGAGCTGAAGTTGCTGGAGTTTGGAGAAGAACAATGGCCTCGACCTTTATACTGGCAGAGATTCCCGATTCCACATGGTAACTAACACATTAGGGAGAAGCGTGTTGCATACGGCTACGTTTCCGGTGCTGGGAAAATCAACCTTGTAAGCGATACTTCTTCTGGCCTCTCAGCTGCTCATCAGAATGAAAGGAATAGACAGCCTTCACATATACCAATGAACGGCTTGATTTCGAAAAGCTGAGTACCCCCATTTAGACACCTTAGTATATCCTGATAATATCTTCTGACCTGAGAAAAGAAGCAGAAATGGTTTCTTAATCCGGATGATGTCCTTCATCAAGGTCTAGGAAAACGCCGATATACCTATAAATGGGGCGTTCCTTAGGACGTTTAGTCAGGGACGATGGCCGCTGAAAGGCCATCAGCCCTCCAGAGCGCATCATGGCACGGTTAAAACTTAACTCCATACAATCTGGACGGCTAAAGTTTAACTCCATGTAATCTAGAGGAAACCAGCATGCGCTTCGAAGATACCGCCGGTGTGCACAGTCTTGAACAATAGATGTTCTGCAGTCGCGGAACCCCAGCTGCTCGGCTTGTCGGAAAGAGAATAGGACAAAACCAAGTTAGACTTCAGATCCGCTCTTATTGGTTCACAGAACGCACCTGCAAGATATCCACGCAAAGGAGCTTTTCAGCCTTTTCTACAGCTGAAACTTCACATTGAGTGACTGGCAGATTTAATTCAGGCGGCTGTGTTACATAACTGACGACTTAAACGGTCAATAGAGTGAGTTTGATATTGTAATGCTGACAACATACAGACTGGAACGCCACAATTATGCTTGCGCCGATAACAGTTGTTAGGTATACTACGCCGACGGCGAGGTCTTGGCGAGATCTGAGCGGAATAAGATGCTGACCGTAGCTGACGTAATTTGACGCTCCACTACTTCGGGCCCGATGTGTCAAAAGAGTGACAAACATCATTCACGCTTCGTTCTGTAGTTATCGCCTACCTGTACTTAGTCTCCTACAGTAATTATTTCAAAATGTAGTGTCTTTCTTCTGATCATACTAGCACCACTTTTGATACTTAAGTCAGCACAAGTAAGCATTACATATTCTATAGTACGTTGAACAATTTCACGAGCGCATCAATATGCATGATCAAGGATGGTCAATAATCAGTATACAAGCACGGCGAGAATTCTTCCCGTAATTTTTTTCGTAACTAGCCTTGACTGAAAATTCCAACGTGCATCGCATTTACTCAGGGTCCTGCCGAGACTACTAAATAACATTACATGAATTCAGTAGTTGAGGAAATAAAATTATATGCTACCATTCTAATTATATTTCAAAAATATAACATATAGTTGGAAGATGGTCCAAACTGCTGTAGTCCATGGGGATGTGACTTTCTCGCTACCAGCCAGTTGTTATAAAGTTCTTCCGATCGGCCGTTGGGTTCAAGTTGAACGGATTGAGGACCACCCCGGATGCCTGTAAGAACCATTAATTTTGTCATCAGAAGTACATCAGAGTACTTGCCATTTTAATCTTCAGCCCAAACAACAGCTCCCCTCTGAATCCGAACGTCCACTTTGTTAGGAATGTAGCTATGCATATCCATTGACACTGAAACTACCTACTCTATGTCCGTTTTACATCTTGTCGCTGCTAGTATAAGTATACCCAGGGTACACTTTTCCCTGGACCGTTCGATGATGAACTGCTATGGTATGATTCCAAAGTATAAATTATATATACAGATGAGGATGAGGATGAAATCAATTTTTATTGTTATCTGTCGGGCCGTTTACGGCCCATGTCACAACATTCTGGCTCTCAAAATACTAGAGTACGGGAAAAGGTCCAAGGTGCAGTCGGTAATACATTTTATGGAGTTGGATGCGTGATATATACAGGATATTCAGAACTAGTTGAATATGAAGAGAAGAGTAGGCCATCCAGAATAAATGAACCTACATTCGATATATTGGAGAATTTACAGGTATCTAAAACTTGAATGTATATCATGGTTGAATGCAATCAAAGATTCAGATTATTCTACTAATATTCAGTTGCCCACCGCCTTGCTAGCTCAATCGGTAGAGTGTGAGACTCTCACATTCAGTCCTTAGCAGGCCAAAATGGCAGAATAATCTCAAGGTTGGGGGTGTTCGACCCCCTCGTGGGGCTAGATCTTTTTGACAATCGACAATGTGCCGTCCCATGGAATACTTTGAGTGTAAGCCATGCTACCGCCTTTACGAATATGATAGTTATTCCAAGACTAAAAAGTTCCTCATCTGTGATTCAATTGACCTCCAGATATTGATCCAAAGCAGTCGGGTTATCTTCGCCTTTCACTTCTCAAGCTGTTTCATTCTGGATTCAGGAGCTCTACAAAGCATGTCGAATCGATCAAGGAGTTTATAGGAAGAATTCCACTGCACAAGTTTACTGGAATAGCTAGGAGTCATAGCGAGTGGAAGGTGGGAAGTGCTCCAGTACCACTCAATGATAGTTCCACAAAGTATAATTCTAAATATTGCAATTTGGTGTAATATGCAAGAAGTTGAGAGATAGACCTGCTGAGCCCTTTTCGTTCGTCTTCAGCCATACGGCCCCATGGGGTTCATTAACGTGTGACTGAGACAATGGACGCTACAGACGGAAAGGCGCAGACAGCCCTCAAGAACAATTTCGCTTGAGAGATTGTTTCTAAGAAAACGAACCTCAGTTCCTCCAAATACGACTGAAAAAACTCACCTAGCTTGGCAAGCCTAGCCAACGGATGCTGACTCTCTCGAAACAAGGCAACAATGATAAAGAAACCATGTGCAGTCATTCCAGTCTCCTTTATATGTTGACCATCCAAGCACAATACATGGGAGCGCTGTCTTTGTTCCTTCCTCGAAAATCTTCAGGAGAATTTCTCGTGGGAGTGGCGGTGGTAAATAAACTATATCCTTGCTAACTTTAAGATTTGCTGGCTCGACATCGCAATAATTGCATCGTTCCACGATTGTGGAACAGTGGATGTAAGATTGGTCCGATCTCTGTTTGAGAATCGACGTGAGAACGTGAGTTGGAAAATAGAGAATGACCGCTCACTGAAATCAAAGTGGGCGGATAAATCGATGAGGAAACAACGTCAGCAAAGCGTGCCACGCGCGCTAAACTCCCCATAGTGCTAGGTAGCACTAGGTAGAATAGGTAAGTACGGAGTCACTAGGAGTCGGTATATAGACTACATAGCCCTACATACCACCGCATACCACTCCTAGCACGGGCGCTAAAACGGATTCTGTGTCAACTTTCCTGATGAAGAGTGAAAGTGTAACAACCGAGCATGACAGCATGAAGCTTGAAGTGCCGGAGACGTGAGAAGAAACAGAGCCAATATATAAATGACATATTTAATCTGTGTGGAACCAGCGGAACGGAAGAAATAGAGCAGAATACTTAGTACAATTCTCTTGCGGCGATGTGTCAAACGACTAGTACTTGCTTCCCAGAGAGCGATTTACGTGAATTAACTGATAACATACAATCAGCGAGCGCGGACACTGGGAAACCGTGAGTTCCGAGTGCAGAATATTCACAAAGGGCGCAGTAGCAGTGACAGCGGAACGATGGCCATCTGAAGAGCCCATAAGGTAGACGGATTGATGCTCGTTTGGACAGTTGATTGTACCAGTTCTTTATAATTTCCAGAATAGGCATCTATGCCGGCGTTCCGAACTACATAAGTATTGTTGACGTATTTGGAAACTCATATGGTATTCTTGGACAACAGACATGCTCACATATTATGATGTCCCAATATATTTTTCTACAGTGCCTAGTATTTAGCAAAGTACCATATAAATCATTTAATCATAATTCTTTTTTCTTCTTCTTCACAGCTGCCAATTGATCCTTGGTGCTCTAGAGTAAGCCAGATTGATTTGAAATGTCGCGTCACGGGATATGTTCTTCCCAATAAACGAGTGTCAGTTAACGATTATTCAAGGCGAGGATCCTTGCGTGTGCGATTTCATACTGGAGTCAGCCGTGGGAAATATAGCCATTCGCGTGAGTCTTCCAAGCCACCCCTTTCACTTCAAGCTTTAAGCTCTTCATCGGTCATCCAGGCTCCATCCATAACGGCTTCAGCTTGGAGGATGTATTATATTCAAATTTCAGTGAAATCCATCGATGAAGATAGCGAACCTCAAATTTGGACTCGACATCCGACTTTGTATCTTGTAGATGGCTCTGTGGTTCTCCGATGCAACTCCGTTCCATTCCGTTTCTATGATTGGCTAATAACTTTGAAGTATTTAAGGATATGTTTTCGCTCTCAGAACATCAACCTCACGATGGAGAAACATATGATGTCTGTCCTTTGGTGACTGTGACTGACAGTCCCGACGATCTCGAATGTCTTTTGTTGGCTTTACTCCAGTTCAAGTAAGTGATCTTAATGGTGTATAATAAATTATATTGAAAAGAATTCTCGACGTGATTAGCTATGTACCTGGTAAGGTCAGCAAATCTTTACCTTTCAAGGCCTCCGTTGCGCTTCTTCACCTTTCTTCAAAGTACACGATGGATGCATTGAAAGAAAGGATGGTCGAACGATTCGAATATCATATACCAACCTCCTTTGAAATTCTTCCCGTCGGTTTGAAGTCCCTAGAAGTCCAGCTTGATCCATCAATTATCAACAATTTCACAGACTTGAAAAATGGTAGGGCTTCAACCAACTTTTCTATGCTGGGAATGAAGAGGGTCGATTGAATGTGCAAGCCCTCGACTGATCCACCGACTTCATCAGCAAACGATCGTGCTGTTCTCTGAAAGTTTTCAAGCCTGAAATATTTATGGACTTTGTATTGGCTAAAAGCCAGGTCCATTGAGAGTGCGTGAGCTTGTTTTTGCCGATGATAGATAGTTCCTGTAGGTTAAAGGTAGGTGGTGAAAATACATTAGGCGGGCGGTCGTTAGTAAGGTGAATTATCCCACCCAATTGAAGCGCTTCAAGATCTGGTGTACTTGAAAATAAAGGCGCTATGTCATAAAAGTTTGAAAGTAGTACTGGGCCGATAGCTATGAATCGTAGCGAGTGGAAAGTAGGAAGTGCTTCAGCACTCAATGATAGCTCCACAAGTATACTTCCGAATGTTGTAATTTGGTATAGTATGGAAGTAGTTGAGAGATAGAGGCGTCATGCCCTTTTCGATCTTCTCCTGCTATATGGCCATGGGGTCCAGTAACGTGTAGGCGAGGCACTAGGTATGCGAATAGGAGGGCGCTGATGGTCTTCAAGAATAAATTAGCTTGCGATATTGTTTCTAGAGAGATGCGCCTCAGCGGATTACACCAATTACGATAGAAAGAAGTCACTTGGCTTGACAAGCCCACGGTACAATGTCTCCCTGGCCAACGGATACCACTCCTTCGAGACAAGGCAACAATGGTAGAGAAACCTTGCACATTCATTCCAGTCCCCTTTATCGATTAGTCATCCATGCCCAATACAGGGGAAGGCTATCGTCTTCGAAAATCTTCAGGAGAATTTCTCGTGGGAGCCGTAGCGGTTCAAAGCCTCTATTCTTGAAGGCTTTCAGATTTTCTTGCTTAGAAACGTCATATTTTTCCATGATAGTACTTAGAGTAATATTGTCGATGCGCGCCGTTTCTTCAAGTTGGGGATCAACTTGAAGATCGAAGAGGGATTTACTTCCGCTCGTAACCGGCGGAACGGAAACAAACTAAAAATAACTCTCCTTCTTCTTGTTACGACGATGCGTCCGAACGACCAATGCTTGCTTGCTTTCCAACCATCTATAAAGTAGACTACTGCGGTATTTTTTGCTGTTAAAGGATCCAACGGAACAAACTAAGCACCACATCGTGTTCCGATCTACTTCAACTAAGATCTCTGCATCCTCCGGCGTCCGCAGACCATCGATGCACTGACATCCTTGCCACCCTTGCAATATCACCAACGAATATCATTTGGCATGATTTCTCATGGATGCAGACATGATGGGATTCTGAATATTTGAAGAATATGAATAACATTTTTCAACGCCGTAAGGAATTTAAACTCCGTCCCTGCTAAAATCCGATACTCAGTAGTCTTATTCGCTAAGTAGAACCTGGGATCACCAATTTTGCAAGCATTCCAAACTTTATATTATTTTATCAGGCATTATCCACTCCGTTATCTCAGCGCAGCATTTTGTATGAGCCTAATTCGCCACATGGCGCCCCGAATGTCGATAACCGGACAACGTTCCGAGTCCACCGACACTAACTGTGTCCGACCTCGCTGTTTCGTATTTTGTTTCCAACTGGCTCCTATTATCAGGGTCATGGAATTGACAGCGTTTAAAATGACCGTTTAAATTGTTCAGCTCTCAATCAGAAAGACTCAGTTTATAATTATCCCTCTTTTCTCTGGCTTTGAACCATGCACTGGCTTTCCCTTTTCCTTCTTAGTCTATCATATGAAGTTTCAGCTAGAATCGTTTATCGATACGAGCTCAATCTCTCAGCAAAAATTATCGCACCTGACGGCTTTCCTCGGCGTGCCATCGTCGTAAACAATCAATTTCCTGGTCCCGTCATCATTGCCTGGAAAGGTGACGATATCAGAATCACCGTAAACAACCACTTGAAGGATCCTTCCATAAGGCAAAGTACGAGTGTCGTAAGTGCGTTCAATGATTTTCCAGTGAGGACTTTCTAATGGTAACATTTTTTACAGCATTGGCACGGCATTGTATGATACAGCCTTTATTTATAACCGAGTACTAACTATGTCTGCAGTTCCAAGAATTCAACAATGAGTAAGCTTCTTGATTTTTTATTTTAATGACTTATTTGACACGACACTCTTTAAGGAACGACGGTCCCTCGTTTATTACGCAGTGTCCTATAGCCCCAAAGTTCGTTTTGGTATATTAGTCAATGAAGGATTTCGAAAAATTAAAATACTTCGACAGCAATGCGTACACATATCTCGTCCATACGGGGGATCAAGCTGGTACTTTCTGGTGAGTCATGATTAAACCATTGATGCATCAAATAATTAACTCATAGTCACTCAAATAGGTATCACAGTCACTTAAAGTGATCATAGCTGACTATAGTTTATGTACATTTCCATAGCAAAATTTGCATGTGCAATATCTTGACACAGA